TAGTTCCTTGGGGGAAGTGGAAAAGAATTGTTCCTTTGTAAGCCATGTGTGTCATAAGAGGCAACTAACATACTGGGAGCAAGGGGCTAGTAACCCCTTCTCCTGTATACATTACTAAAATTAAAAGGAGAAACTTTTGTTTTTCTTTTTGACCACCCTGCTTCAGTGGGATATGGCTGGTTTGTTGAAAGAAGAAATTATGTTTGCCCAAAAGTAGCTTAAATATTACTTATTTTTCAGTCGGTTAGTTAGTTTAATGTAATATTAAAGGACTCTTGGTTCTGCTTGATAGCATTACTGTTGCATATGATGACAGCTATTTCAGGACACTTTTTACTTACCATAGATATTTTATAACTTTTAAAGATCAGGCAGGCATTCATTTAGTAAATGATATGTCAATGCACTAAAGAGTGTTAACTACAATTTTCATACAAATGACAAAAATTACCACTCCTGTCAAATATGAGAAAAGCTATTGCAAGGAAGGTTGGCCAGATGCTATCACCTGGTTCCCTCAGCAAACCATGCAATTAGAACCCCTATCCTAAAATCCCAAGTTGTTTCTAATTTAATTTTTTTAAAATTCAATATTTCCCTTGAATTTGACACCACATTTAATTTGGCACCATGGATGACTGTCTAATATGCCTATATGGATGGGCTGCCCCCGACTGTAAGTGATGTGTCATATATAATAGAATTGCTATTCCTACGTGGTAATTTTTTGCCAAACTTCTACTCATGAGAGGTAGGGTATCAAGAAGCAAAGATTGGGAAAGGTTATAATACTATATTTACTTTCCTATAACTATATGACAAAGAATGGCAAAATGAAAAGCGGCTTTAGAAATCTTAATGGCAGGGAGTGCAAAGTCGGCATTCATTTTCTAATGTAAAAAATATCTAGGTTACTAACACTGAAAAACTGTTATGTAGGTCCCAATATTTCAAGGCATATTACATTACATTCTGTCCATAAACAGCTATAAAAAAAATCTAAACCTGAAAGTTAAATATGAAAACGAACACTGAAAAAAGTCTGAAAATGCAGAGCTCTGCAAAAGATGGGGAAGTATCAGAAGGCTGTTAATATGTGATATAGGAGCAAGTGTTATGGCAGCCAAGAATGATTCTGAAAAAAGATGCAAGAAAATACATCTAACATAAGAAAAATTAAGCAGAATGAATGTACTGTACAGAAATATACGCTGACTTCGGTATTAAATTGTAACTAACCTACATGCTAAAGTAAACAAGAATAATTAGACTACTAAAACACCAACTTTCATTCTATTTTAGAGACGAATAAAACTTTAATAGCAGGAAGACATCAAGAGTAAATTTTTAATACGGTACTGTACCTCTTTTTCAACTTCCAGTTCTAACTTTGGTCTTCTACAAATCCGTTTTTTCTTTAGCTTTTTCTTTACTCTTGTGAAATCTGCTGAAGAAGGTATAAGGTGACCAGCAGCAGTAAAAGCAATTCCTGATTCATCTGTTAACACTGGCTTAGTTTTAACCACGCTTGTTCCATAATTGAATGGTACTTGGCTAAACCGCTTCTGTCCTCTGCAAAGTTTTTCATGATTAGATTACATTTTTTATAGATTGGGTACCTAGCAAGGGAATATTTTTTGCACTCTCTGTATAATATACAGTAAATAAAAGAGAACATTAAGAATTTATTCACCTGCTTCTTGGAAATTCCAGACCAAGCTTTCTTATAATGATGCCAGGTAACTGACAAGCCTTAATTAAATTCTTGAAGTGCTGGGTTGGAGTGCCAACATTACCTTGTGGCATGAGAGTAGGAGGACAAAACTCTACTAAATCCAAAGGTGACTCCACAGAGAGACTTTGGGAGTCCAATTCCTTTCTTGTTTTATAATCTGAATCTGTTAAAAGAAAAAAAAAAACACATTTGATGAACCATGCCTTCAGATCACTACAAGAGGTAAATTGTTTAAAATTGTATGACTACTGATACTGACCCATTGTAGGCATAAGTAGATTCAGTCAAAATTTAACTTACTGAATGTTACTATTTTGATGCTGCACTAACCCAATCCAATTCACTTAACTCATAAGTCTACAATAAATGTTACACTGCAAAAAATTACTCATTTTATTTATGTGATCTCTGCTTTTAAGTTATTTCAGGTAAGGTAAGACTTTATGTTTAATCAGTCATGGGTAGAATTGTTTTTTTTTTTTGATTACTCTACCTTGAAATTAAAATTAATTTTATATTAAAGTAGTAGGTTGGTAGACAGCAACCACCCAGGGAAGTACTACCGTCCTGCCAGATGACTGTGAAACAAAAACCTGTAACTGTTTTGCATGATGGTAGGATTGCTGGTTTCTTTTTCTGTCTCATAAACACGCTAGATAACAGGGATATCTTGCTACTCCTACTTACACTTTGGTCACACTTCACAGACACGCACATGCATATATATATACATACATCTAGGTTTTTCTCCTTTTTCTAAATAGCTCTTGTTCTTTATTTCTTCTATTGTCCATGGGGAAGTGGAAAAGAATCTTTCCTCCGTAAGCCATGCGTGTCGTATGAGGCGACTAAAATGCCGGGAGCAATGGGCTAGTAACCCCTTCTCCTGTAGACATTTACTAAAAAAAAAAAAGAGAAGAAGAAAAACTTTATAAAACTGGGATGCTTAAATGTGCGTGGATGTAGTGCAGATGACAAGAAACAGATGATTGCTGATGTTATGAATGAAAAAGTTGGATGTCCTGGCCCTAAGCGAAACAAAGCTGAAGGGGGTAGGAGAGATTCAGTGGGGGGAAATAATGGGATTAAATCTGGAGTATCTGAGAGAGTTAGAGCAAGGAAGGGGTAGCAGTAATGTTAAATGATCAGTTATGGAAGGAGAAAAGAGAATATGAATGTGTAAATTCAAGAATTACGTGGATTAAAGTAAAGGTTGGATGCGAGAAGTGGGTCATAATAACCGTGTATGCACCTGGAGAAGAGGGGAATGCAGAGGAGAGAGAGAGATTTTGGGAGATGTTAAGTGAATGTATGGGAGCCTTTAAAAACCAAGTGAGAGATTTAATTGTGGTAGGGGCCCTGAATGCTAAAGTAGGAGAAACTTTTAGAGAGGGTGTGGTAGGTAAGTTTGGGGTGCCAGGTGTAAAGGATAATGGGAGCCCTTTGATTGAACTTTGTATAGAAAGGGGTTTAGTTATAGGTAATACATATTTTAAGAAAAGAGGATAAATAAGTATACAAGATATGATGTAGGGCGAAATGACAGTAGTTTTTTTGGATTATGTATTGGTAGATAAAAGACTGTTGAGTAGACTTCAGGATGTACATGTTTATAGAGGGGCCACAGATATATCAGATCATTTCTAGTTGTAGCTACACTGAGGGGTAAAAGGGTTAGATGGGATACAAGGAGAATAGAAGCATCAGGGAAGAGAGAGGTGAAGGTTTTATAAACTAAAAGAGGAGGCAGTTTAGGGTAAGATATAAACAGCTATTGGAGGATAGATGGGCTAATGAGAGCATAGCAATGGGGTCGAAGAGGTATGGGGTAGGTTTAAAAATGTAGTGTTAGAGTGTTCAGCAAAAGTTTGTGGTTACGGAAAGTGGGTGCAGGAGGGAAGAGGAGCGATTGGTGGAATGATGATGTAAAGAGATAGTAAGGGAGAAAAAGTTAACATATGAGAAGTTTTTCCCAAAGTAGAAGTGATGCAAGGAGGGAAGAGTATATGGAGAAAAAGAAGAGGGGTTTTAAGAGAGTGGGGGAAACAATGTAAAAAGAGAGCAAATGAGAGAGTGGGTGAGATGTTATCAACAAATTTGTTGAAAATAAGAAAAGTTTGGAGTGAGATTAACAAGTTAAAAAAGCCTAGAGAACAAATGGATTTGTCAGTTAAAAATAGGAGAGGAGAGTTATTAAATGGGAGGTAGAGGTATTGGGAAGATGGAGGGAATATTTTGGGGAATTGTTAAATGTTGATGAAGATAGGGAAGTGTGATTTCGTGTATAGGCAAAGAGGAATAACATCTTGTAGGAGTGAGGAAGACCAGTTGTGAGTGTGGGGGAAGTTCGTGGGCAGTAGGTAAAATAAAAGGGGGGTAAGGCGCCGGGATTGATGGGATAAAGATAAAAAATGTTAAAAGCAGGTGGGGATATAGTTTTGGAGTGGTTGGTGCAATTATTTAATAAATGTATGGAAGAGGTAAGGTACCTGGGGGTTTGGCCCGAGAGCATGCATAGTTCTTTGTATAAAGGCAAAGGGGATAAAAGAGAGTGCAAAGAAATTATAGGGGGTAAGTCTGTTGAGTATCCCTGTAAAGTGTATGGTAGAGTTATAATTGAAAGAATTAAGAGTAAGACGGGAAATAGGATAGCAGATGAAAAAGGGAGGCTTTAGGAAAGGTAGGGGGTGTGTGGACCAGGTGTTTACAGTGAAACATATAAGTGAACAGTATTTAGATAAGGCTAAAGAGGTCTTTGTGGCATTTAAAGATTTGGAAAAAAGGCGTATGACAGGGTGGATGGGGGGGCAATGTGGCAGATGTTGCAAGTGTATGGTGTAGGAGGTAGGTTACTGAAAGCAGTAAAGAGTTTTTACGAGGATATTTGAGCTCAAGTTAGAGTATGTAGGAAAGAGGGAAATTTTTTCCCAGTAAAAGTGGGCCTTAGACAAGGATGTGGATGTCATCGTGGTTGTTTAATATATTTATAGATGGGGTTTAAGGAAAGTAAATGCGAGGGTCTTGGCAAGAGGCGTGGAGTTAAAAGGATAAAGAATCACACCCCAAAGTGGGAGGTTGTCACAGCTGCTCTTTGCTGATGACAACTGTGCTCTTGGGAGATTTGAAGAGAAGTTGCAGAGATTGGTGGATGAATTTGGTAGGGTGTGCAAAGAGAAAACTAAAGGTGATACAGGAAAGAGTAAGGTTATGAGGATAACAAAAAAGATTAGGTGATGAAAGATTGGTAAATTTAGATTGGAGGGAGAGAGTATGGAGGAGGTGAACGTATTTAGATATTTGGGAGTGGACGTGTCAGCGGATGGGTCTATGAAAGATGAGGTGAATCATAGAATTGAAAGAGGGAAAAGAGTGAGTGGTGCACTTAGGAGTCTGTGGAGACAAAGAACTTTGTCCTTGGAGGCAAAAAGGGAATGTATGAGTATAGTTTTACCAACGCTCTTATATGGGTGTGAAGCGTGGGTGATGAATGTTTGCAGCGAGGAGAAGGCTGGAGGCAGTGGAGATGTCATGTCTGAGGGCAATGTGTGGTGTGAATATAATGCCCGAGAATTCGTAGTTTGGAAGTTAGGAGGAGGTGCGGGAATTTCCAAAACTGTTGTCCGAGGGCTGAGGAAGGGTTGTTGAGGTGGTTCGGACATTAAAAGGGGAATGGAGCGAAAAAGAATGACTTCAAGAGTGTATCAGTCTGTAGTGGAAGGAAGGCGGGGTAAAGGGGGCGGCCTAGGAAAGGTTGGAGGGAGGGGGTTTAAGGAGGTTTTGTGTGCGAGGGGCTTGGACTTCCAGCAGGCATGCGTGAGCGTGTTTGATAGGAGTAATGGAGACAAATGGTTTTTAATACTTGACGTGCTGTTGGAGTGTGAGCAAAGTAACATTTATGAAGGGATTCAGGGAAACCGGCAGGCCGGACTTGAGTCCTGGAGATGGGAAGTACAGTGCCTGCACTCTGAAGGAGGGGTGTTAATGTTGCAGTTTAAAAACTGTAGTGTAAAGCACCCTTCTGGCAAGACAGTGATGGAGTGAATGATGGTGAAAGTTTTTCTTTTTCGGGCCACCCTGCCTTGGTGGGAATCGGCCAGTGTGATAATAAAATAAAAAATTAAAGTTTTCTACTTAATTTCATGATTATAAAAACCTAATTTTAAAAATACGACTAGACACTATATATACATATATGTATATAATAATCATTAGAATTTAAAAATTATAGTTTTAGTTAACAAATATACTATATCATACCTGGATTATGTGAAGGAAAACAGTCAAATTTTTTTATGCAAGTTTGTTTAAGCAAATGTTTTTATTGTGCACTAACACTAATCTAGCAACCTAACCTAACTTTGCTAAATTTTACATAATATAAAATAAATTACTGTACTTTACCTATTAAAGAATTTGTATTACAAAACTTGTTTGTTTTCCCTGGGGTATGTATTCTACAGGTGGTCCCATACCCATTACTAAGGATAGCTCAAGTTTCTCAAATTAAAAATCTTTACCAGCTTTAGATAATAAGATATTTCAAGGACCCCAATGGAAAAAAGTTTTATTTTTCTGGGTTATCCTAGATAATTTACGTTACTAGGTATGATGATTGTATTTATGTGTACATGTACCTAAATAAACTTACTAAGGCACCCACTACGAAGGATACAGAGCTAAATTACTGATAAGACACTAGAACTTTTACACAAATAACCTGCATATAGAAGAGAGGAGCTTATGATGACGTTTCAGTCCGACTTGGACCATTTACAAATACCAGTCATGGTATTGTGCCTTTTTCTGTTTAAGTACTGGTACAAATAAGTACAATTATCATACATGGTGTAAATTACCTAGGTTAACCGCCCCCCAAAAAAAGTCAAAGTGACGTATTTCCATTGGGGTCCTTGATTTCCATGGTCACTGTACCTACATAATCAGCATTGTATTAGTATATCAACCTTCAACATACCATCATAAGTTTTGCTTTTCCTAAAGTTTATTTTTAAGATATAACACCTCGGTACGAGAACTTCACCAGCAAGATCGACCCAGTGTTTCTTGTCGTATTTCAACGTGAATTTTTCGACAAAATCCTCTTTTATGTTTAAGATGCAGCAAGTCCTCTTAGCCTCTGCCTCTTTCATCATATCAATGACATGTAATGACACTGATGAATGTAAGTTATCACTGCCACTTTGTTTCTTCATTGATTTATCAATATCACTTTTCATTGAACAAGTGGAAGAAGTTCCTTCTCTGTGTAAAAGTTGCATCGAGTGCTTCAAGTCTGTTTTTGCCTTCTCCTTTTTTTCATTAATTAATGATGAAAGCCCAGACAAGCCTGAATTTAGCCAATGCACTTTGCTAGCAGAGCTATTCTTTTCTTCGTTATTATATTCTATGTGAACTGGTTTATCGTCTTGGTTATACTCTACAGAAGTTGATTTTCTTAGTCTTTTATTTAAAGTATTGTCAGTGTCCTGGATCAGTTCTTGCTGGACTTTAAGACTGGTGGCATCAGGTGAATGAGGACATAAAGTTTTATTACTGTCTTCTTTACTACTGACTTTTTCAGCGTTAGTTTGTGAGCGAGAAATATGTTGCTGTGGTGAACTTGTTGCGTTATTATCCAGGAGTCCTGCCAGGTGGGTCTGGGGACGGTGGCGGAAGTGAAAGCACTGAAATGCACCTTTTTCAACATATTCAGAGAAGAAATTTCTGAGGTCTGGTGTCCTAAATGATTCTGGGATATTTGTGACCACAAGATGCATCTTTTTGTTGTTGTTGTTGGGGTTTATAGAGCTACTGACAATGTACGCCGTATCGAGCCCTTCCATCCAGTGCCCGGAAGGTAGGGCTCGATACGCTATTAGTCAACTTCCTTCCAAAGTGGAAGGAAGTTGGCTAATGGCTGTTAGCTTTATATGTCCCCAATGCTCCCTGAAGCCAGCAAGAAGGCCAGCTAAAGGCCAGGATCTCCTGATGGTCTGAAGGGTCAAACTCTTTCCCTGGTGGTCCAGTGGCCTGGTGGCTAAAGCTCCCGCTTCACACAAGGAGGGCCCGGGTTCGATTCCCGGCGGGTGGAAACATTCGACACGTTTCCTTACACCTGTTGTCCTGTTCACCTAGCAGCAAATAGGTACCTGGGTGTTAGTCGACTGGTGTGGGTCGCATCCTGGGGGACAAGATTAAGGACCCCAATGGAAATAAGTTAGACAGTCCTTGATGACGCACTGACTTTCTTGGGTTATCCTGGGTGGCTAACCTTCCGGGGTTAAAAATCCGAACGAAATCTTATCTCTTAAATCTTATCTTAAAGCTCTTGCTCCACACGGCGAGGGCCTGGGTTCGATTCCCAGCCAGAGTAGAAACACTGGGCGTGTTTCTTTCCACATGTTGTCTATGTTCCCCATCAGTAAAATGGGTAACTGGGTGTTAGTCGACTGGTGTGGGTCGCATCCTGGGACACTGACCTAATTTGCCCGAAATGTTCAGCATAACAAGGGTCTTTCTATATAGTAGTATGTCACTGATATCAGCTACGGTCTGTATACCTTGTACATGTACTTGTAGTAAATAAGATAATTATTATTATTATTATTATTATTATTATTATTATTATTATTATTATTATTATTATTATTATTATTATTATTATTATTATTATTATTATTATGAAAGGTGTATCACCTGCTGCTACTGCTGCTTCTTGATGAAATTGAGACACATGTGCAACATCTGGGTATCTTTATTGTAGACGTTTCGCCATCCAGTGGCTTTATCAATACAAATTCCAGGACATAACTTGAAGACAGGAGAACTATGTACATTATTATTATTATTATTATTATCAAAAAGAAGCGCTAAGCCACAAGGACTATACAGCGCTGCAGGGCAGGAAGGAAGCGAGGGTGTCAGGTGGTAAAAGGGAGATGGATGAGTGATAGGTTACGGATAACAGCGGGGTAGTGGATGGTGAAAGTGTAAAGGGCAGCAAGAGACTGAACTAGAAAGGGCTGAGGGGAGTGCGAAAAGTATCATCAGAGTTTGTGGAGTAAATCAGGGCGTTGTCAAGAAGTCAATGAGGAGTCAGAAATTTAAAAGGGGGGTCCAACAGCAAGAAGGGAAAGGGAAAGAGAGTAGTAGAGCGGAGACGACGACGGAGGTAAAATTCTGCGTGCTCGTTGATAGAGGGGCAGTCTAACAGAATGTGGCTAATCGATATGGAACTTGACATGCTCACAGAGAGGAACAGGGTGCCTCTCCATGAGATACCATGAGTAAGACGAGTGGTACCAATGCGAAGGAAAAGGGGAGAGTGGTCTCCCAACCTCGGCACTGATGACAAGAAGACGGTCAGTAACCTATGCTCGGTTTAATAGAATGAAGTTTGTTACCGAGCAGAGTTGACCAACGTTGTTGCCAACGGATGTGAAGGTGGGCAGCTATTACAGCAAAATAGTCCAGAAATGGAACACCTCGATAGGAAATTGGTAGGTCATGTACTGCTGACCGTGCAGCAGTGTCTGCCTGTTCATTGCCCTGTACGTCGACATGACCAGGGACCCAACAAAAAACAATATCTTTATGTTTGGTAAGTAAGTAAGTAAGTAAGTAAGTTTATTCAGGTATACACAAATACAGTTACATAGAATTATCATACATAGCAGCATATGTATAGAGAACCTAGGATAACCCAAAAAAGTCAGACAGAGTGACTTATTTCCATTGGGGTCCTTTTACCTTATTATTATAGTATAAAGGTTATAATATTTTCTTATTATTCTACAATGAAGATAACATCTTATTATCATACTAAAAAGACTATCTGCTACACCAAGGTCATTAAGACTATCTACAATACGAGGGTCATTACAAGGAATAAGGTAAAATTTACACGTATGTTAGCTAAAAAATAGAAAATCATTCCCCTCCCTTTCTGTAGCTACATTCATCAGAGATACGGCGTAGCCAAAGTTGGATACGGAGAACTAGGGGATGAGATGTATCAAATTTTCGTATAGCCTGTAGAGCACTAAGGGAGTCTGAGACTACTACAAATGATGACACAGGCATAGATGCGATACGAATAAGTGCTGTAAGAATGGCATACAGTTCAGCAGTAAAAATGCTAGCTGAAGATAGTAAATGTCCCCACACGACGCTGTCCAGAAACACTGCTGCGAATCCGACGCCGTCTGAAGACTTAGAGCCATCTGTGTACACAGCGGTGGCATGAGAATGGGAGTGGAAGTGATCAAGAAAAAGAGAGCGGGAAGCCACCGTAGGCAGTTGGGCTTTCGAGCAAGGGAGTGAGAAAGAACAGACCCGAACAGCTGGAACTTCCCAGGGGATTAGGGAAAAGTGAGATGCTACATGAACATATAAAGGTGGTAACTGAAGGGAAGACAAGAGTGAATGTAGGCGAAGAGAAAAGGGACGGAGCAAACAGGGGCGGCGAACGAATAAAGAATGTCTACTAATATCGGTGACCATTCTATAAATGGAAGGATTGTGTAGATCGTGAGAGCGTACATAGTAGCGAAGGCAATGGGCATCACGGCGATCAGACAAGGATGGAACATTCGCTTCTGTATAGAGGCTCTCAACAGGGGAAGAGCGAAAAGCACCAAGGCACAAACGTAATCCTTGGTGATGGATAGAGTTAAGGCTAGAGAGAGTAGCAGGAGAGGCCGCGGAATAAATCTGGTCACCATAATCGAGTTTCGATAAACGAGGGCTGAATGTAGGCGAAGCAGAGTTCGACGATCAGCTCCCCAGGAAAGATGAGCAAGGGTTTTAAGAAGGTTTAGCCGGCTGTGACAAGTTGCCTTCAGAGAGGTAATGTGAGGTTTCCAGGATAACCGACGGTCAAAGAGAAGGCCTAGAAACCTGACTGTATCACGTTCGGGGATACGGGAGCCATAGAGATGCAAAGGATGATCGGAGATAACAGAGCATCTAGTGAAAGTAATTTGGTGAGTTTTGGTACTTGAAATTTAAACCCATGCGTGGTGGCCCAAGTGGAAAACACGGTCGACCGCATGCTGGAGAGAAACTGCAATAAGATGACAGTCAGCGCCTGCACAAGCAATAGCGAAGTCATCAACATAGAGTGATGACCAAATATTGGGTGGAAGAACAGAGGCCAAATCATTTATAGCAAGGAGAAACAGTGTTGTGCTTAGAACACATCCTGGGGACACCTTCAGCTTGGACGAAGTCCGGGGAAAGAACATTATTGACTCGAACACGGAAATGTCTGTCAGTTAAAAAGTTCTTAAGGAAGGATGGTAGATTGCCTCGGAGGCCTAAGGAGTGGGCCTGGGCCAAAATATTATACCTCCAAGTTGTGTCATATGCCTTCTCAAGGGCAAAAAATATGGCAATAACTGAGTGATTATTCGCAAAGGCATTACGAACATACGTATCCAAGCGTATTAAGGGGTCTATGGTAGAACGACCCTTACGAAAGCCATATTGACTAGCGGAGAGACTGTTGTGTGTCTCTAAATACCACATTAAACGTCGATTTACGAGACGTTCCATCACTTTGCAAACTGCACTAGTAAGAGCGATGGGGCGATAGTGGGAGGCATCATGTCCTGTAGTACCCGGTTTGCGGAAAGGGAGAGAACAATGGGAGTTTCCACCTGGGGAAACACCTTGTGCCCCAAAT